AACAAACCAAAACACTATCCTTCCTAATTCTTTCTCAGTCAATGCTAATGCAAGGATCAATGTAGATAAATCGAATACATTAAACAACATCATATCCCAATCAATGCACTATGAATTACAGAGGTAGACGAGATCTAATCTGAGAAAGCAAATCAAATAAGTGCAAAACATCTTGTTTAAATTCACGAAACATCACATCAGATTTAGATCAGAACCATCATACATCGACCCAGAAACATTCATGAAATCAGAAACATAAGAAACGCAAAATGTAGATTTCACTCATGATAGAGATCCAGGGATTGATCTAGAAATTCATGGAAGTGGTTCGTCTCTGTAAGCGTTATATCGACTGAATTAAAACAACCACAACGATCAATGCTTTATTTGAACGACATTCTATAGACTTCGAAAAACCAATAGAAAAACTCACGACATTGTGATGACTGAAGATGATGCCTGGGATCGTGTCCGAACCAAAGACCTAAACACATGGTCGGAGAAGAAGAAGTCATGCCCATGTGAATCTCATGGCTGAAATCCTGATGATGTCTCTGCTCCTCGAAGATAGGGAGCGGGTGGCCGGAATTAGGAAAAGGGTGGTGCGGCAGTGGTAATAGTCTCGTGAATGCCATTGCTTCTCGACTTTTCATATATTTAAAACAAATTTTTCATTGGAAATATAAAAGTTATTGAATCGTAGGAGAAATTAGTTTGACCGAATTGATTTCAACAAAAAAATTGTTTTGATTTAAAAAAAAAAAGTTATGCTGATGTGTCAGAGAGGAGAATGCTGACGTGTTATCCCCTTATAAGACATAAGTGAGTTTTTATATAATAAATGACTAGGTGGTTGGTCCGCACATATGTGTGAGTTTAATTTTTTTGATATATATAGTAATTGTAATGATTAGTTTTCTCAAACATTAGTATGTTTGTATATATATATTGTTTTAATATTTCACAAACTTCTTTGTGAAACCAATATATTTTAAAACTTTTTATTTTTATAATACTTGTAATAATATATAATCACAAATATAAAAGTTATATTAAATAATAATTAAATTCTTATAATATTTTTAGAATATTTCTATAATATGCATTATCTTTTGAATATTTTTTTTGCATCTTACATAATATGAATTTGTAAATACACATATAATATATTTTAAGTATATATTTTTTCTTAATTTATTGCAAATTAAACTAAAATAGTTTTTACTATTTTTACTTATTCCTAAGAGCGGATAGATGGTTAGCACGCATGTGCGAAAATACCAACCACTTCAGTACACTTAGAATAGATAAATATTTAAAAAATATATATAAATTGTATAATAATTTAAATAAAAATTAGACTGTAATCAAGCTTAACAAAATATATGCACGAAAAAGTTCGCATGTGACTTCAACTAATGCACAATTAATATTTATGTATGTACGCGTATTTGTAAAAAAGTCAAAAATGGCTCTTACGTGTTAAAACGCTTTTAAGTGACTTTGTAAAACAAAGTGCGATAGATTTATTTTTATATACTTCTATTTTTATTTCTTATTCATATTTGTTTCATCTTATTTTAATTTATTCTTTCGTTCGGTTAGCTTTCATTTCATTTATGATCTCAAATTTTTGATATACCATGATAATAAATGTATGTATATGGCTCGCACATATGTGCGGGTATAATATTTTTGATATACATAGTTAAAACATTAGTATGTTTTGTATATATATATATATATATATTGTTTTAGTATTTCATAACTTATTTCTGAAACTAATGTATTTTAAAACTTTTTCTTCTGATGAAATTTGTAATAATATATAATCAAAAATATAATTGTTATATTAAATAATAATTAAATTTTTATAATATTTTTTGAATATTATATATAATATGTTTTATTTTACCTTACACAATATACAATATTTTTTACGTCTTACATAATATGAATTTGAAATACATATATAATATATTTTTAAGTATATAATTTTTTATTTATTGCAAATTAAACTGAAGTAGTTTTTACCATTTTTACTTATTCTAAGAGTGGATAGATAGTTGACATGCATGTGTGGGGGTACCAACCACCTCACTACACTTAGAATAGATAAAGATTTTTTTTAAAAATAAATTGTACTATAAAAATTAAAATATAAATTAGACTGTAACCAAGCTTAACAAATACTAACATGCACGAAAAAGTTCATGTGACTTCTACTAATGCACAATTTTAATGTCTGTACGCGTATTTGTAAAAAAGTCGAAATATGGCTTTTACATGTTAAAAAAAATTTAAGTGACTTTGTAAAACAAAGTGCGAGAGATTTATTTTTATACACTTCTATTTTTAATACTTATTTATATTTATTTCATCTTATTTTAATTTATTATTTTGTTTGGTTATTTTTTTATTTCATTTATGATCTCAAATTTTTGATATACGATAAAAAAAAATAACGTCTATATATATATATATGTGAATATGATATAATTTTTTTAAAAAAATATGATAAGAGATAAGATGAGATTGTAACATAAGTTATGTATATTTTAGAAAATAATAATAAAAATGTGATAAAAAATTTATAAAAGTATATGGTCCTATTAATATTATAAAATAATAATTAGTATATACTTTACTCATTTAATAAATATTGGTTTGAAAAGAAAATTTATTTTAAATTACGTTTTTAAAAACATTTCACTAAAAGTTAATTATTTTTTATTATTTTTAACATTTAAATTATTTTTATCATGATTGTAATTTATTTGAAATTGTATTATTTAATAATTTGTTTATTTAAAACTTGTTTAGATGTTATTACTATATTTTGTAAACTAATAACTTTCCAAAATAAAAATATATCATAATTCAAACATTATTAATATATAAAATCTTTACTATTCTATTGGATAATTTAGTATTATTTTTTCGATTTCATATAAAAAATATATATATAGATATTTTTGTTGTTATTAATTTTTTTAATTATATTTTATGAAATTATAAATATATATAAACATTAAAATCATAATAATAATTATTTTCTGTTAATCTAATTTTTTAATTTTAGTGTTATAAGTATAATCTAGTATTTTTATGTTTTAATTCCACAAGTTCTTTAATTTTAATTCCACCAATCAAAATATTTCATTTATTTTAGGAAGTTTGACATGTCACATTTACATGTCATCAATTAAAAGCACTAACTTTAGCTGTAGTGTTGACAAGTCAGCTATTTTCAATAATGTTACTTCTCAAATAATATGTAGTGGATTCTTTAATTTTAATTCAACCAATCAAAACATTTCATTTATTTTAGGAAGTTTGACATGTCACATTTACATGTCATCAATTAAAAGCACTAATTTAGCTGTAGTGTTGACAAGTCAGCTATTTTCAATAATGTTACTTTTCAAATAATATGTAGTGGATATATATATATATATATGAATATGATATAAAATTTTATTTTATTTAAAATATGATAAGAGATAAGATGAGATGGTAACATAAGTTGTGTATATTTTATAAAATAACAATAAAAAGATGATAAAAGTTATAGAAAAATATATGGTCCTATTAATATTATAAAATAATAATTAGTATATAGTTTATTCATTTAGTAAATATTGGTTTGAAAAGAAAAAATATTTTAAATTACGTTTTTTTTTAAAAAAAATCAATAAAGTTTCATTATTTTTAACATTTTATCCTTTAAATTATTTTTATCATGATTGTATTTTATTTAAATTTTATTATTTAATAATTTGTTTATTTAAAATTTGTTTAGATATTATTACTATATTTTGTAAATTAATAAATTTATGAAATAAAAATATATTATATTTTAAGTATTATTAATATATAGAATTTTTACTATCCTATTGGATAATTTAGTTTTATTTTTTCGTTTTTATATGAAATTATAATATATATATATTTTTATAAAAATTTTGTAATTATATTTTATGAATTATGAATATATATAAAAATTGAAAATTATAATAATTATTATTTTCTGTTAATTTAAATTTGTTAATTTAGTGTTATAAATATAATCTAGTGTATTCATGTTTTAATTTTATAATTTTTATAATTTTAATTCAACCAATCAAAATATTTCTTTTATTTTAGGAAGTTTGACATGTCATATTTACATGTCATCAATTAAAAGTACTAACTTTAGTTGTAGCGTTGAAAATCAGCTATTTCAATAATGTTACTATGCAGTGGATTACATTTTTAAAAAAATATATATCCAAATTCCACTATATTTTATATCCATTTGCACATTCGTTTCTCAATTATCAGAATAATTATACAGAGGCCCACGTGCATAAAGCCCAGAACACACACAGAAGAGAATAAAGACGAAAGAGATAAACCCAAACTTCCTTTCTTCACCAAATAGTGTATCATCATCCTGTATCATCATCCTAAAGGCATCAAATCCTTACCCCCTCTTTTCTCCAAAAGAAGAAAGACGAAACAAAGATTCCACCTTTTCCCTCAATTTCAAATTAAAAAAGAAGACATACCTTCATTGCTTGTTTCCTCGTTTAATGCAAATTCCTCTCTTGAGTTCTCTTCATGTTTGATCTTTCTCGCTCACCATCGCCATGGGAGCTCAGAAGAGCATCCACGCTGGCAGAGGTCTATTCTTATCTTCTAAACCCATCTCTTTCTCTCCTTCTATTCTAAATTATCAACATTTGTGTTTTGGATCAGTATTAATGTGTTGAAAAATGGTAATTTTTGAAGTTTGATTGTGGATTAACCACAACCAGTAGATGTCTGATTGCAATATTTTATTTTTGTTGCCATGTTTCTTCTATAATATATCTTCTTTATTTCCCATTTGCAGATATGATTGTGTGTTATGTTTGTACTTGTGTATGTGTGTTAATATATAAAATAGAGGATACATTGGTCGTTTGTTTGTAAAGGAGAACACTTTCGAAGACTTTTGTTACTAACCATAATGTGGGATGGGTTTGAGTGTAGTAAAAGATTAAGATGTGATTATTTTGGTATCAATTTTGAGCAAGAAGTATCAATTTTTATCTCGTTGTTCATCTTCGGGAGTGAATTACTTACTGGCTAGTAACAAAAGTCATCATAAATTGGTTTTTGAGCAAACGTATCAATTTCTATAGTTTTGTTCATCTTTCCTTTAGTTTCTTGATGGTGGGTTGCGAATTCCTTGTTTTCGTTTGTTGCAGCCAAGATTGATGTTAATGTGGATTTCACTCACAAGCTTTGTACTTCGTTAATGTTCCCTGCTTTCAGGTTTACTACTAATATCTAGTCTTCAACTTTACTCGAATATAATCAATTACCCTTGAAATTGTACCAGCTTTATCTCCATCAAACGATTTTAAAAGTTGAATGTGTCGCTGTTTTTACAGGGACACAAGCAGTCCTCTTTCTCTAGTGATTGGCAGGCAAGTTCTGTGACTAAAATGCTAATTGATATCGTTGATATTCATATACAGTACTCTGTTCAATTGAAATGTTCATTTTGGTTCTGTTTGGTTGCAGCCTCTGTATCAAACATCCGAATTTGTTTGGAGGAAGCGAGAAGCTTGATGTATCTTGGGATAAAGGGCTGTCTGATTCCAATGTACTAGTGGCGTTTAGGAGGCCTAGACCTGAATGGCGTCCGCAACAGTGTTTCTTCATACAGGTTCCAATCAAACAGGATGAATTTGGATATACTACTGATTTGTGAAACCATCTTAGAAAGTTTAATTCTCTAAATCTATGTTATGTTAATAGTTTATAGATTTTTATTTCTAAATCTCTCAGCATTCTCTTTCACCGGAGATAGGGGTCCATGGAACTCCGGTTGACAATTTTTCCCGGTCAGGGAGCGGAGGTGTAAATCTGTCTAAATTCGCAGTTGGTTTAGACTTAAGCGAGCCAGCGAGCTCAAAATGGAGCAGCACAACCAGCGTTAAGTTTGAGGTACCTTGTCATTGATGTTTGTCGCTCTCTTTGATGTTTTTCTTTGGGGTCAAAGAGTAACATTTCCCATTGGTGCAGCATGTGCGTCCAATAAACGATGAAGGACGCCCAATAACCAGAGATATGGATGGATTTCCTGTAACTTGCAGGTGATATTAGATTATCTTTTGTCTTTTTTTTTTTCCCTTAAGCTATAGTATAAAAACTGATATTTACATCAAAGTAAGAATCTTTGCTATGCAGTGGAAATACACATGATAGTATGGTAGTTTTAAAGCAAGAATCTCGGTTTGCAAAGGCTAATGACCAGGGTCTCTCTCACGTAAGAATCTCTTCGTTTCCGTTTCATATCCTCGCAACAAAATCTCTCATACTGGTTTCTGGCTTTTTCAGTTCAGCATGCAAATAGAACAAGGTATTCCAGTTGTGTCCAAGTGGCTTATCTTCAACCGTTTCAAATTTGTCGCATCGAAAGGTGTCAGGTTGGGACCGGCTTTTCTCTTAGCAAGGTACTTAAAAAATCTTACATTCTTTGTTCTTGACAAGTAAGAAGCTTTTGGTGTGGCTCTTACCTCTTTTGTGACAGCCTGACAGGTGGTTCAATTGTAGGAGACATGGCTCCTTATCAAGCATTTGCCATTGGTGGGCTAGGCAGTGTTCGTGGATATGGTGAAGGCGCTGTTGGATCCGGGAGATCATGCCTCGTTGCTAATACAGAACTAGCCTTGCCTTTGGTAAGTGGGGGATGTTGTCTGACTCAGAATCTTCAGAACCATCAAACGGTTTTCTCCTTTTTATTTTTTTAATTGAGCTTTTGGTTCCTTTGTTTGTTTACAGAACAAGATGACAGAAGGAACAATCTTCTTGGATTGTGGAACGGACCTAGGCTCAAGCCGTCTTGTCCCCGGTAAGCTCACTTTTGCCTTCTCTGAACCATAAAGAAGCTGTTAGAACACTAGATGAAGTTGTTGTGGAGTTGGTTTCAGGAAACCCATCGTTGAGACAGGGGAAACCAGGGTTTGGGTATGGATTCGGGTATGGACTACGGTTCAAGTCTCCGTTGGGTCACCTTCAAGTTGATTATGCCATAAATGCTTTCAACCAGAAGACTCTGTACTTTGGTGTCACCAACCTTGCTTCATCAACATAAGCTAAGTACTAAGTAGGACAAAAACAATCAAGAAAAGGACATATTTAGTGTCTTGATTCACGTGTATATATTTGTGTTTTGCGGTGAGACCAGAAACGACACAAGATTGAGGCAACAGACACGGCCCAAGGAGGAGATGCTGTTAAAAAAATTGACAAAGACCTTGAGAACAGAAAGTGTTTGAAAAAGGAATCATGTAATGTCTAAAAAGGTTTTGTTTGGTATATGCAGCTGCTAGAGTTTTGTCTGAAAGCTTTGGGTTTTATAGAGAGAAAGAGAACGCACATTTTATTTGGATTTGATGAGAGATGAGAATAATGCTTTTCCATATTTGATTTGATTAAACAGTTACACAAGTATCTAGAACCGATTAATATGTATGAAGATTGGGTTTTGTTATTGGATTCAACTAACATGTGTGCAAAAATGGGAATTCGGCCAATCCATACCTCAACACTACTCTGATGTCCAGATCCGAGCCCACACTATAAACTGTGCGAAAACATACCCCAACATGTATCAAGATGAATATGCTTCATACCCAAACACACAACAAACGGATTTTTCATACTTTGATCCAAATTTCTATTAGTGAAGTAATATGAGAGTCTAGCATAGCAGTGGCATTGACGTGGCTTGGCAAAAAAACGACGTCGTTTTGCTAATTTTTTTCAAGAGAAAACAATAATAAAGGACATTAGATTATAAATTCATCCTCTTCTTCGATCCACTCCGATTATACTGCTGTAATTTTCCGTCGAGATAGGGTTTAGATTAGGTAGCTCGAATGTCTTCTTCATCCAAGCCTAATTCATCTTCGGGGTGAAGTTAGTTTTGTCGTTAGTCTCATTCCATTATTAGTTAATTTAAGTTATTCAATCACTCTGCATTTGGCGTAGGATCGACTGCAAATTGGAGGCAAAGAGAGAGAGAGGCTTTCCAACGATTTGTAGATGTGGAGAAGGTTCTGTGATAAGAACTTCAAGGACTTTCGAAAACTCAGGAAGACTTTTCCATTGTTGTCCATATGGATCAGAACAGGTAAAGCTAATTAATTTGATTATTTTCCAACTGTTGCTCTACATCGATAGTTGATAACAAGCTCTTTCTGTTGTAGGATAAGACTCATTTGTTTAAATGGACAAATGAATATGTTGTAGAAGAGACTGAGGTAATGAAGAAATCCATAAGTGGGATAAAAGGCAAGTTTCAAGAAAATATGGAGAATTTGGCGTTTGAAACAAGGACTTGTGAAGCTGTTGTTGATAACTATGGGAAGAAGATTGATGAGTTTAGTGTCGCTCTTACTGGATTTGAGAAAGAGATAGAGGAGATGAAAGATTTGATCCACGGGTGTGAGAAAGAAATTAAGGATTGTGTTGGTGAGTTAAAATGTTTGAAGAACATACTTGTTTGTGGATTTGGAATCATTGTGTTGTACTATAGTTTAGTGTTGTAGATTAAGGATCGTTTTCTTTTCTGTAATCTTGAATGTTGAGTTTCTTTGTTAGAAAGCTGGGTTTGTGTAAAAATATTAAGTTTGTGGGGTTGTGTGATGAAATGAATGATGAGTTTGATGAATCAGTCTTAGACCAAAGCAATAGAATAATTAGATTAATGCAAAAGAAATTTTGCAAGAGAAGAATAACAGATGCATTGATTAAAACAAAAGTTGCAGAGTGATTAAATTCCAAATCCGAGTACCAACAAACGCATAATAAGAGTGCCAAAAAACATTCCAAAAGTACTAAAAACCATCCCAAAAGCAACCAAAAACCATTCCAAAAGTACTAAAAAACAATCCTCTGTCACAATAGCCATCCTCTAACACCAAGCAAAAACCTATCTTTGAACAAGTAATCCGCAGTTAGCAAAACCAAATGATCATCCCATATAAAAGACGAAAAGATAATTACAAGTCAAACACCAGGACTAAAAGAGAAACAAAAATCAAATCATATACCTGAAACTTAATTAAAAGTAGAAGACAATGTTTATGTTGGATAACTTTGACTTTGACTTGGTCCTTCTCCAACTTCAAGAGAGGTTGACGACTCTGTACATCATTTGCAGGCTTACGTTTGTAAATCTTTCTAGGCTTATTAGGAGCTCCGTCAAACGTGCATCCCGTACAGTTATGCCCATTGAAACTGCAACGATAACAATGAACTACCTTTAAGTGTCTGCTCAGTTTTTTTCCCTTAGTAGGAGACTCAGTAATGGACTTTTTCCGCTTCTCTGGCTTCTTATTCCGACCTTTATTTACCTCTCTTGGTGGTGCTTCAAGTTCATTTGCACCAGATTTTCTCCAAAATTTAAAGCCATCCATTGGAGTGATTGAATCACTATATTGTTGCCGCCAAGTAGTAGTCAAGTAGCAATCCGCAACATAATCTTATGCATCATACTTCTTCTCCAGCAAAACTTTCAATACATGACGACAAGGAATCCCGGTCAGATCCCATTTTCTGCAACTACATGCCTTGTCTCTAAGACTCACTGCATATGAAGTACCGTTTTTAGAGACTTTGATGAGCCATTAGGTACAGGAATTCGTTTACACCATTTCAGCTCTTTTTTCTCTAACGCAAGTGTAATTGCAACCTTTAGACTGTACCTACCCTTATGCTTATGTGATATTATCTTCCTTAGCTCTATGCAAACCATCATTTGTCTCCTAATAGTCTTCAACTTTTCAACCAAAGGTAGTCCATGAGCTATTTCTAGTCCACTGTTGAAGGATTCAGAGAAGTTATTGAGGGCATCTTCACAGGTAGATATGGTCTTGAAGAATGCTCGGCTACATGAAGTCGGATTCTTCAACACCAAGTCGTCATAGACACTAACATCATATTTCCGCAATTTGTTCAAAGCGACTTGGTAATCTGCTTTATTGAAACTATCTGAAATAGCCCAAAACAGTCTTTTCAGTTGAGACTTTTTCGAATGGATCTTCTTTAGGTTACCATAGACGTGTTTTGCACATGTTCTATGCTCCACATTTGGTAGTTCGAGTTGCACAGCCTTAATCAATCTCTGAAATGGAAAAAGAGAAAAAGAGAAACAATTCATAAAGTTATCTTATCCGTTTAATACATCACGATTTATAAAATCCAAAAAGTCATCTTCACTTACTTTTTGTTATCATAAATGAGTATAAACCATCACCATCTTTAAGATCCAAATCAATTTTAAGCTTCTGAATGAACCATTGCCAACTGTCAGTATCTTCTACTTTAACAACGGCTCATGCAATAGGATATATCTGGTTGTTTGTGTCTCTTCCCACTGCTGCAAATAGTTGTTCTTTTGAAGTAGACTTTAAGAAGGATCCGTTTATTCTAAAGATTGGTCAACAGTGGTTAATCCATATACTCCAAATTGCATTAAAACACACATAGAAGCTCTCAAATACTTCAACTTCATCATCTCTAGTGGCGGTTAATAAAACCGCCGTCGAACCTGGATTTCTCCTGTTTATTACAAGTAAACATTAGCCCCAAATCAATTAGTTCATATCTCAAAATGTAATTCAGTTTAAAAAATTACTGAATAATGTGATCTTGGTAATATTTGATCCTTTCATATTGTTCATCAATTCTTGGTAGATCATGTCCAACGCTATCTTCCTTGTCTTTCTACATATATCATGATTATTGCATGGCTTTAGGCATTATCGCAGGATCATTTCGAATCTCATTTAGTAAGAGATTCGCAATCACAGTTTCTGTCAGTAGCTTGCAATAGCCATCTAGTGTACAACTATGCTCTTCCTGAAACGTCTTCACCATCCACATCCCCAACGATTCTTCAATGAGCAATATATTCTCCAAAAACAAGGAACCTCACATTTTACTGCACATTTTGCCTCACATTTCAGACTTCCCCATCTTGTGTATTTGATATTCCATCCTCCTTTCAATGTGTATTCTAACACAGTTTCTTTGAACTCTATAACACTCTCAAACACCTGCATTATCTTAAGCACGCCTGTTCCCCTATGCCATCTCTCTATTTCTATGTCATTATGTTCTTCCTCACAGTCAGATGCAGGAGGTGTATCTCGGTACATGTCATTCTCCTTCTCTTCATCAACAAACTCAGACATAATTTCTTCAACCCTTGCAGCCTGCTGTCGAGCATCATCATCAACCACATTTTCACTCTCCATATAAATCTCAATAACTCTTGTCCATGGCGCAGCTTTACACATATTGTCAAAGTTGGGAGATCCATCACAAAGAAGCTTCAGATCCTTTAAATCTTCATAAGGAAGCTTATACCAAACCATTTGCCCATGCAAATCCACTATGTCAGCTGCTATTATACCACTAAACATAGTTTGAGCGTACATGAGTTTTTCCACTTATATACATAACTTCTCCATTTTCAGTCTGAAATCTTCTATCATATGTGATATTAAATTCACTCTCACTCTCGACGCTGAGATCACACAAAAAAAGATAATTCAATAAATATCATATAAAAATGTTCACTTATACATTTTATCGAACACCTAGTGTGCACGAAAAATTCTTCTTATTTACTTCAATCAAGTAACACCCACAACCTATATTAGCTACAATTGTACTCGTAACCAACCAAACTTAAACCCAGACTTGTATATATTAATCAATTAGACTTCAATTTTAAATTATACTCACCTCATTTTTGAATGAAAAAGTATTCTCCACCTTAATAAACAATTTGATTAGAGAAGGTTCCGAGTCCCTTCTCTACTTAATTGCGCTAAGTGAATTCTATGTTTCTTCTCATAAACCTCTTTCCATCACGATTTCTCTGTTTTTCTCTCTCACAATTCTTTGTTTTTATCGAACAAGATGAACATGTCGAAGAAGAAGGGAAGAAGATGAATTAATGATGCAAAACGACGTTGTTTTGTTTGCCAAGCCACGTCAATGCCACATCATACACCATAACTGCTACGTCAGACTCCCATATTAGTTGACTAATAAAAGTCTGGGTCAAAATATGAATAATCCGTTTGTTGTATGTTTGGGTATGAGACATATTCATCTTATACATGTTGGGGTATGTTTTCGCATAGTTTATAGTGTGGGCTCGGATCTGGACTGCGGAGTAGTGTTGAGGTATGAATTGGCCGAATTCCCGTGCGAAAATCAATGACTTTTAAAACAAGTAGTTGAACCAAACCAGATTTGCCCGGAATAGGGACATTCCGGTTCGTACCATAAATCATTTCTGCAAATTTCGTGTTACATTACCAAAAGAAAGTAACCTACTTCGTGCTACAAACAAACAGTAAGAAGACCTCTTCAAGAGTATAAAAAAGATGCCTTTAGAAGAAATTGTTGAACTGACTCGTAAGCGAGCTCTTGAGGTTTGAGTACAGACCGTAAAGAGAATACTGCTTAAGGTTCTCGACTTCATACCACGAGTTGAGAACCGCCAAGTGTTTGTCGGTGCCGGAAAACGCCAGCTGGATACCGAGACTGCAGTCCACCGTACCTCCCCGGCCTTTGCAGCTCGGTGTTCTGATAGCACAATCTTGCTTGTTGAGGCACACAAAGTTTGGATTCCCTTTGCACGATGCACACCCGTCTCTCTTCCAGTATAGGTTCTGAAGCCTACCTTTTTGAAACTCCATCACCTTTAAATAAAACGCAATAGCAATAGCGCGGTAATAAGAGTGCTTGAAGAGTCTATATAATCAGATTTTTAGTCAGGGATGATATATAAGAGGCTTTACCAAAGTAAAACTGGTTACTATGAAGGTGGTGTTAGCAATAAAAGCTGGAGGAGACCTGGCCGCGTATTTCCGACCAGCAAATGCCACCATATATCCACCATAGTTATCCTGAAGAGATTATACATCCAAAAAAACATATTACATTAAGAAGATTCTGGTTTTCTTCACCAATCTGTTTTACAAAATCCAACTTTGGAACATCACTAACTAATTCAAGTATACTATGGACCCTGTGGCTTTCTCAACAGATCATGGTTGATTTGTGATTACATAAAACCAAATCTGATAACTTATCTATAGAAACCTGATATCTTAGACTCCAGAAATTATCAATACTAGATATGAAGCAAAATAATTAGCCTAAACATGTAGGTGAACTTAAATTAAGTCAACCAAATCCACTCATATATGCATTTTTGGTCTCCCTAATCTACACTCTGAACAGATTATTATAAAATTCTGTGTGTTTCTTCATCAATCTGAATCAGAAAATCAAATGTTGGACATCACTGACCAATTGAATTCTGTATTAATTTATTGTCCTGAAGAGATTATACATCCAAAAAACATTTGAACATGGTCACATAAAGAAAGATTACGGTCTCTTCAACATTCTGTATAACAAAATCCAACTTTGGAACATCACTAACCAATTCAAGTATACTATGGACCCTGTGGCTTTCTCAACTAATCATGGTTAACCTGTGATCACATAAAACCAAATCTTAAACATTTATTAATACAACCGAATATCTTAGACTGAAGAAATTATCATTACTAAGCAATCTAATTAGCGTAGTCATGTAAGATCAACTATCAATCTTGAAGAAGATAAAGTCAACCAAATCTACTCATATATGCATTTTTTTCCCTAATCTACACTCTGAACAGATAACTATAGATTCTGTGTTTTTTTCACCAATCATGGTTGATTTGTGATCACATACAACCAAATCTGATACTCTATCTAGGCAACCTGATACCTTACACTGAAGAATTATCATTACTAGACATGAAGCAGTCGAATTAGTGTAGTCATATAAGGTCAACTTTCAATCTTGAAGAAGATAAAGTCAACCAAATAAACTCATCTATGCATTTTTTTTCTCTCCCTAACCTACACTCTGAACAGATTACTATAAGATTCTGTGTTTTTATTTCATCAATCTGAATCAGAAAATCAAACTTTGGACATCACTAATCAAAACTTGAAATCCAATTTGCATAATAATTTAACATTGACCCTGTTAATTCGTGGTTACATAAAAGCAAATCTGATATGATCTCTAACACTGAAGAATTGTTATTAGTGACTAATTAGTGTAGTCAGGTAAGGTCAACATAATGGAATATTGGAGAAGCCAAATTCAACCAAATCCACTCATATATGCATTTTTTTTTACCCTAATATCCACTCTGAACATATTACTGTAAGATTTTGTGTTTTCTTCAGAAAATCAAAACTCTAAGACAACACTAACTAATTTATGTAGTACTTGTAAGCCAGTTTGCATAATAAACTAACATGGACCCCTGTGATGTTCGCACCTAATCATGGTTAACTTGTTATCACATAAAACCAAATCTGATACTTTTCTATTCAATCTGATAATTAACACTGAAGAATTATTATTAGTAGACATGAAGCAATCTAATTAGTGTAGTTAGGTATAGACAGCATAATGGGATATTCAAGAAAGCCAAAGCCAACCAAATCCCACTCATATATGCATATTCTGAATTTGAATTGGACACTCTAACTTTGGATTTTACTACGAATTCAAAGTATATACCTGTCGTAATCCAGCTTCTTCATAATGATTGGAAACTGTTAGATTTTTTTTACCTAAATTAGAAACATTTATGGTTGTTCGTAATCATACAAAAACCAAAACTGATTATTACTAGTTACATGAAGCAATCTTATAAGTGTAGTTTGACTGTAGTCAGAGTCAAGAAGCCAAAGTCAACCAAATCTAAACTCTGAAGATATTACTAAACGTTTCTTAATCTGATTAACTATCTAATCCAAAACTAGTTTAATAAACAAAAGGGACCAGATTTGACGAAATCAGAGACTTGAGGGAGAAGAATCTAAATTACCGGGAAGAAAGCGGAGGTGTTGATAGAGAGTAGAGAGATCTCGTCGACCTTTGGACGGAAGATAGAGAGCTGAGAGTTCATAGCGGCGAGGGTAAGTCGACGGTCGCAGGGAGAGAGAAGAACCGTCTGATTGTAAAAGAAAGACGGACGTGAAGAGAACGCGATTCCAAATGTGAATCCGTCGGATCTCTGGATCCTTGTGTCGGAGCAAGGCGAGTAGACATTATTTGTGTTTCCTCCTCCGTTCCCGCCGAAAGCGACGGCGCTATTGAAACCGCCGGCGATGGTTAGAGCCACGACGGTGTAGACGAGGAGCGTTAGGGTTTTCGAGACGGACATTTTCGAAGTGTTTTGGGATTTGTGAAGAGTGATTGTGAGAGTGTGTGTGAACGGTGGGAACGGCTGAGTTCTGTGGCTTTCACGTTCGCCTTCGTCGTTTTCCACAGCTTCATCACACTTCGACTTGGAAAATTCCAAAAGTTCTTTCTTTTCGTTTAAAGAAATACCTTTTGAAGATTAATCTGTTTTGAAATGGTCTTATACAGTAAATTTTTATTGGATTGCTTTTAAAATTTAAACCGGGTCGATTTCTATTTTGTTTTGCCTTCTAAACCGATTGGCACTTCGATTTCTATTTTGTTTTGCCTTCTAAACCGATTGGCACTTTAATTTGTAATTTGGTTCGAATAATTAGAATCTGCTAGTTACAGAAAGTTTGTTTTATCGCAGCAACTTCAAGAGTTCGTGGGAGGCTCGTGTGAAGTCTGATCATGTTAGAATTTGCAGGAGATTGTCCTGGCACTGCAAGCTTGATTAGTGAGATAAAATTTCCAATAGTTTATTTACAAGGATGATGATTTGAACTATTTTTATTAAACAAGAACTAAACAAAATATATTTCTTTTAATATATATATTCTTTTAATGAAAAGTAATATTTCCATTTTAATCTTATTTAGATTTGATCCAACTAAATAAAAAATAAAAGATAACAAAAATTAGATCAATGAGAGAATATACTATTATTAACTAATCAGAAGATAAATCATCAATTTCTGTCTCTCTCCTCTTCTTCACGATATATCTATTCTTCTTCGTCGTCGCCATTGATTCATCATTCGAGCTCTCCTCAGCTTCCTCCATTGAAGAGCTGAATTGCACATTGTCTTCAATCTTTACAAATTCCTGTGAATACAGGTGTGTTTCCAGCATTTCGTCATCTCCAATCGAGTTGTAGAATTTGAAATCAATTTGATTTTTTGAAAAATTGTGAATTGAAAACAATTTGAAATCAAATCCATTTGTATGCATTTTTGTGTAATTCACAATGTTGTATGCGTCGTTTAGGACGATGTATTGGTAATGAATGAATTTTATTTCCATAATCGTAGAAAATCAATGTTAGATTAGGATTCTTTTCATATCAGCACGAAATAATCCAAAAAGAGTTGCAACGATAGAACAATTGGGTAGAACTGATATTATTGAGTATAAAGTAAAACTGGGTAGAACTGGTATTACTGAGTTTGAAAATAAAACTTGATAGAACTTGTATTACTCGGTAGAACTTGTATTACTGAGTACAAAAGTATACATGGGTTGAACTAGTATTACTACATAAGAAAAGTAAAACTAGGACCCACTAAAAAAAACATTATTGGGTAGTACTTGGTATAACTGAATGATGTTGATAATTTATTTTTATATTTTTTTCTCAGGCGACAATGGGTACGACCGTAAACTTATATTTTGATTACGGAGGAAGTTATTCAAAGACCAGAGTAGATGAAATATGGAATTCTGTAGGCAATGTCTACGGTTTAACGTTTAAGACATGTATGTAGAATGTTAGAGATGAGATTCGTACCATCTCTTCAAGCCCGATATGAATTCTGGTCGGCCCATCTTACAAGGTTCAGGTCAGCCAAATAAATGGAAATCTTTCATTTATCGGACGAACCCGGAAAAAAGGAAGTTCGTTTATTGTTGGATCGACAGCTCCCCCTGCAAGGTCGGTGGATCCTCCAGTGAGATCGGTGGTTCCCGTGGTAAGGTTGGTGGTATCAGGGTTGATCGGTGTTCCAACCATCTTCAAGCTCCGTTTGTTGACAAAGATTGCTCTCTTATTCCCCACAGACGGCGCCAACTGTAAAAACTCAAGTTCGACTTACGAAAGAACTAGGGTTTGTGGGTTTAAAGAGAGATCTTTATTAAGAGAAGCCAGAGCTTGATGGCATCCTGGCCAGATGCTCGATCCGCCTAAAGCTAGTCTGATCCATTTTAGCTCGGCAACTTAAAGCCAAGTCCGTCTTGCATCTTACAGTTTTATCTGTTTCAATATATCCGACCCATACGTTGTTGTCAGCCAAGTCCGTCTTGCATCCACATTTGACTCGGATACTTCTAAGTGGTACCGATGATTTGACGCCGACCTGAATCGCACATCGAGTATTCACACTTATAAGAGAAGTGGTACGAACAATCGTAAGCCGGGCTTCCCGCACGTTCGTATTCACACTTCCCTTTAAAGCCAGAATCCGCTCTGTAATTCTTAAGTCATGCAAAATTACTAAGCCGACCTGGTCGTAATTCATATTCGACTTAAGAAGTTTCTAAATACGGAATACATGCCGATCTCATTTGCTTATTCACTTAGTACTTAGAAATTTTAAATCACATAAATATAAGCCGATATTGAATAGCGATTTTTGTGTTCAGATTCTTAAATAAAACGTTTCATTAATATATGCCGAAAACGACGAATATAATACAAGTGTACGATAACAAAATACCAAGTACAACAAAACATATCGAAGAAAAGGGAAAGGCTAGTCTTCGGCCTGTTCCTGGATTTCTCCTTCTTCCTGTTCGGCCTCTTAACTAGCAGGCTGACCGGCATCTTGGTCATCCGGCTGATCGGCCTCCTTCTCTTTCTCCAGACCGTCTCCCTCAGAAGACTTAGCCATATCAGGCTCTTGACCGTCAGTCAGAGATGGAACGTCGCTGGAAACCTCGAGGAAAACTTCCGCCTCTTGGACTTGAAGCTCGTCGGGTGTAAAGTTCACTTCTTCAAAAGCCTCTAAATTTGCCTTACTTTCCGCGATCAACTTCCTGACATTCTGTTCAACCAGGACTGGAAAATTGTAGCCTTGTTTACGAATGATGCCGAGTGCCTTCTTAGCCCCGACCCACTGAGCCGCGGTCGAGATCAACTCATGAGCTTTCTTCTTACCAGAGAGCGATTCATTCACTTTAGCGACCAGACCCGCATAGTGGTTGTTCACTGCAGCTGTCGCACGCTTCGCCACTTCTTGCCCAAAGGCAAGCTTCTCCTCTTGAGTGACCTTCAGCTCGGCCTCCAGCTTCCGTTGTGAGTCGGCCCTCTCTTTTTTTTATGGTTTTTACTGCTTGATTGAGCAGTTTGCTTTTCTCGGCGTCGTCGGCGCGAACCTTCTCCAACTCCTCGGAAGATTTTTGAAGCGCGGCCTCCAGCTCAGCGCTTTTTCTCTGCTCGGCCTCAAGAACTTCCTTGAAACTCTCTCTTTCGGCCTCTTCGGCCAGGAATCTCTTCGCGTCCCGGTTGTATTCGTTCATCACGGTCAATGCCGTGCTTAAGGCCTGTATGCAAAATGTCAGTATTCGAAGTCACTTCCACACGAGAGGAATTCGTAGAAAAACATTCTATGTATTTTACCTTGGCCTGATCATGCGCAAAGCGCGCAATCGCATCATTGCGAATAAAACCGCGAGGGTCCATCGGTGGACCCTCTGGACTGTTCCTTAACCTGAGGAAGTAATCCAAGCAAGACACAGAGTCATGCACTATTGGACTTTCTCCACGATACTCATAGGAGAACCTGAACAGGCGTAGTTGTCTCTCAGCCCGGGACCTTTTCGATATCTGCGGCTCTTCAGGAGATTCTTCCGAACTCCGCTTCTTCGATCTAGAAGGACTGCCGTCCCTGCCGTCAAACTCGCAGACTTGAGCATCGTCGGCTCCTCTCTCCTGTTCGGCCTTATTTTTAACTTTCTCAGCTCTTCTGGCTGCCCTCTTATCTGCCGCTTTCCTAGCCTTGGCTGCATCCTGCTCAGCCTTCTGGTCGGCCGCTTCCTGATCGGCCGTGTTCCTTGCTTGGGTCGTATCGTGTTTGAGGGAAGGTGCAGCCGGCAAGAGGTTCTCGGATTCTTCGACAATTGGAGACCCGAAGGCAGACTCCAGGTCGGCTGATAAATCCTTGAAAGTGATAGATCTCATCTTCTCTCATCGGCGGGAATATCATTCAAGCGCAGCTGATGAATAATCAGAGAAAGGTTAGATCGAATGGGAGGTCCTCGAATACCAAACATGCTTATAGCAAATTAAACTAACCTCTGGTCCTGGCAATCTTTTCTTCCGTGATCTCAGGCCACGTTATCGCGCTGATCCTCGAGAATCATTCATCGATGTTGTAAATATCTACCTGATCATCGACAATAGGAAGATGTCTGTTTCCTGCAGGGACAAAAAATGAGTCAGTCGACAAAAAGAAAGAATGTCAAACTATTCACAGCTATTATATATCGGTTCGGGTAAATTTTCTACCCATGACCTCCGCCCAATTCGTTCGTATTGGCACATCCCTGTCAACGATGGAGAACTCGTTGATCAATACGAAGAAGTATCTATCTCTCCAGTCATTGACCTTCGACTTTTGGCCACCAGTGACGATGTTGAATTTGCTCTTCATACTAGTGTAGTACGAACCCCTATTCTGCAATTTCTCCTTTGTCCTTCTGGTGTTAGTTATCGCATCAAACGTAGCTCGGCTCAATGGAATCCTATGCTTAATCGACATTACTAGCATACTCACTATCAGGCGGATGGTAGAATGGGAGAACTGAGAGATCAGCATCTCCTTGTAATCAGTAAATTCAAGCAAGAGTCTTGAGAGTGGAAAGCACAGATGGAATTCTCTGAAGAAACACTCGTAGATGCAGAACCACCCTGGTGGCGCATGCCACGACCGCTTAGACGGGCTCGGCACCATAAAAACGACTTTGGGACCAATGTTGCATTCCTCCTTCAATGAGACCAACGACTCCATCTTCGATTTGGTCGGCATCACCCCCAGGGGATTGTCACAGATCAGCCTCACGACCGGCTCCCCCTATTTTCTCTTAACTTTCTCAACAGGAGGATTCAGATCAATAATGCTGAACTGATTCACCTCCTCTTCAACGAAGAGTGTGTTCAGCTCGTCTGAGATATCCATCTCATTCGAGCCACCCTGTTCGTCTTCCTCATCTCTTAACTGCGGGATCAAAAACGGTTCACGAGAAGATGCCTCTCCACCCATCGGAACAGCCCCGACTGGGTCGGCGTGGAAGCATTCGGCTGCGGCCCTCTGATTTTCTACTCTAATTCGTTCCTGATATGCACGATCTAACGCAGATAGGATGCTGGCATCCAAGGGCTGATCTGACTCTGGTTCTTCGACAACAACCTGTTTTCCTTTCGATCGCCCTCTTACGGCCTGGTCGTCTTTTTC